AAAGTAGGAGAAAGCACCAGTGTTAATGTGGTCACAATGAGCGCCTAGTGGTCTCATGAAGCTCTTGCTTGTTGGTTCAAAGCTGGCTTGCACAGCAACAAAGTAAAGATCATTGATTGAGGCCACTTATCGTGACCTCGATTCAGATCTCCTAGTGAAGCAATCATCATATTTAAGCCTTTTATCAACAGAACCGTCCCCAGGACAGCCAAGCCAATACCCAGTCTGTGCATGATGTTCGTTCATGCCTGCCACACTGCTCCTCCCCAGCTCAGGCCCATCTCAGGACTCTGGTGCTCCTCACATAGCCGAGTGCTTAAGACCAGTCTCTACAATGGTCTCTGGGAGCTGGCGGCAGGAAGCAGAACTGTCTGGCCTTATGCTAGGAAATCCAAGCAAGAGATGCAGCAAATCAAAGGCCCCTCTGATGTAGAGCATTTCCTCCTTCCTGCTATGTTGTCTCTCCTAGGGTCCCAAGTATTCTCTTTCCAAAGGAAATAAGGAAGAGTCAGTAAAGAGAAGAGAAAACAAAACAAAGCCAGGGCTTAGATTTAGGTAATCAAACCGGATACCAGCTAAGCTGCGAATGCTGTCATGGTTGACATGCTCTGCAGATAGTTTTGGCAGATAAGTCTCATTATCAAACTGCCACAAACCTTTTGGTCTGTATATCTTCCTCTTTACTGAAAAAGCAGCTACTGTTCTCTTCTCCTTTAGTGGTGGCAATAAGGACTATCCTCACTGAAGCCAGCCAATATCTGCCAGTGTCATCAGGTCCAGATTAAGATCCCGTGTCTTTTCCAGCAATCTCTGCCCACGAATAGCTAGCTAGCTTCTAATAGTGTTTAGACAATGCAACCGCAATAGAGAGCACTGGGGCATGACCTTATCCAGGGCCAACTCAGGCCTTCTGTCAATAAATAGAGCAGCCTTTGGTCTTAGCCCGGGGAGAGGATGGAACAGACGCAGGTGAACGCTGAAACATTTCAATTTGCCTCACAGAGGTGGCTCTCTTCTCCCCGACCCTCCCGTGCCACAATGCTTCCTACAGAACCGGTTCTTGTCTGAGGTCACTTTGCACAAAGTCCTCCTGCACCCCGGTGCCCAAGGGGAAGGGAAAGTTCAGAGCCAGTGAGAAGTTTCTATCTGAGTGTTACTGTTTGCTTGTTTTTTTCACTTTTGCGGTAGCAGGCCTCTAAAAATTAGCCCAGCGTGAGCTCTCTTGACTAGTGAGGATGCTGCATCCTGCTCTGCCATACTTGCTCCACCCACTAGAAGCAGGGCTTTTATTTTCCAAGAGAAGATCAGACTAATTTTAGCTACATTTCAGATAGTTAATGGCAATCAGGAAACATGCTGCATTTCTACCAATGGTTTATTTCTAGATTTACTGAGAACAGACCAAGACTTTACTTCACTGGTGATGCATAACGAGTCAGTAACTTCTCTAACCACAGTACCAAGGGGACAGGAGCTGGCTTTAGAGACTTAAATTTGTGTCCAGACTTGCAATCAGGTGAAGTCAGGGCTTCCAGCTAATTCATTTGTGTGCTGTCATGTCCAGACGCTGGTCAGAAGAGCCTCATTTATTTACACCGAACAGCAATCCTTTACTAGCCTCCTAAGCTGTTCTTTGCAGGTTTTAGCTATTGTGCTCCATCTGGACTGGGGACCCTTTAAAACCCTGCACCAGGAACAAATTAGCCAGCTCTGGATACAGCCAGTGCATAAAGAGCGTGGGGTTACACGCTTCCCTGCGCACCCAGGAGACACAGCCTGCAAGTGGGAGAAGATCACGTGTCAGCCAGTCGTTACGTCGCCTCTGTGACACCCCCATGAAACAAACCTCCATTTTTTTCCTCCTTTCCACCATGTCCTACCAAATCTGCAATTGTCAAGTGTTTTAAGCCTCCAGATAATCCATCAGGCTAACTACTGTTCCCATTTTACAGCAAGGAAAAGTACATTAGGAAGCATCAGGGGCTTGCTAGTGTGAGTCTATCAGTCAGAGCAGAGCCCACATCTATTGCCCATGAGGACAACAATCAAGTGTAACAGGCCAAAGCATCTCAGAGTTTAATGACTTGCCCACGTGAACACATTGCTGATCAGACTTTAGGTCTCCACTGCTCAACAGCAGCATCTCCAACGGCGCCGCACCGCTCCCTCCATGCTCCCCCTACCTCCCCGCACATTATAAGCCTACCTGAAACTTCACGGGCATCGCAGCTCCAACAGTTCAGTGTCACCCAGGGCTCTTCCAGCAGCAGGAAGGGGGGGGGGGAGCCTTAAAAGAAAATAAAAGATGGCAATCGAGTCTGCTTGTGGTTCAGTCTTTCATGAAGGCAGCTATAGGGATAGGGAGGAAGCGCAGAGGGGCCACTACTGAGTCACTACAATACAGTCATCCCAAAAGGGTGGCGATCCTCTGCCGTCATCTCCCGTCCTCCCACTGTAACCAGGGCGGCCACACCAGGGGGGCAAAACGCCCTCTCCGTGGGGCTCGGCGGGCTCAGCATCGCTCCTTCCACTCCCCCCGTCCAGCTTCCCAGGCTGAGCTAAGGGCTGGTCGCTCCTGGCCAGAAGCAGCAGCAGATGGACCCTGGTTCTGATCTGGGGCAGAGGAAGGGGGAAGGACTAGGACTGCCCTGCCCTGCCCTGCCCTGCCCTGCCCTGGTCCCTCCCGCTCCAGGCCCCCCCCGTGGCCGGCAGCCCCGATCCCCGCCCCGCGCTCACCGGCCCTGGGGTGCGGCAGGATCCCCGCGCCGGGCCCCGGAGCTGCTGTTTATGCAGCCGATCAGCTGATCCGCCGG